ATCTTTCTCCCGCAGAGCGGCTGGTAGTTTCGAACCGCTGACCTTAAGGTTCGCAGCCCGATTCGTAACCACTACGCTACCAGAGCTCCTTAGATAGGTCCATACAAATAATTAGGTATGATACATTAAAAATTGTTAGACATTTTTAGTATTTTCATTGTTTCCCTTATTTTATTTTGCTCAGTGGCGCAAGTACGTTGTTGATGTTGTTAAGTGTCACAGAGTTGGTATCGACTCATATAAACATTTTATAGGATTTCTGAGGCTTTTCTTTAAATCTTTGTGGAAGCAGAACGTCTCATTTTTCTCCCATGTAACAGCTGGTGGGCTCAAACCATGGACCATGTGGTTCCCAGTCCAGCCAGTGTTTATTATATGGACACACAAACACACACACACACACACACATATATATATATGTGTGTGTGTGTGTTTGTGTGTGTGTTTGTGTGTGTGTGTGTTTCCCAGTCCAGTGTATACACACACACATACATATATACATAGCTCTGGTGTAGTGCTGTGGGTTAATGAGCTGGAGAGCAAACTTCAGAGTATCTTCTGATGACAGTTTTGATCTTTTCTTTCTTTCTTGTCTTTTAATGATCTTTTACTTTCTTCCTCTATATGTCCTTGATGTCATCCCACGACTCTTCTGGGTTCAGTCTTTAGTGTCTAATGCATAAAATATGTTCTTCAAATGATCTCTAAATTCAGGAGGAATATGTGCAAGGTCATATTTTATTACTTCTGGACTTGTTTTAATATGCTTCAGCCTGAACTCACATGCTAACAACTGATGGTCAGTTTCACAGTCTGTCCCTGACTTTGTTTTGGCTTATGATATGGAGCTTTTCCACTATCTCTTTTTACAGATGTAGTCAATTTGAATTCTGTGTATTCCATCTGGAGAGGTCCATGTGTATAGTCATCTTTTAAGTTCCTAAAAAAAAGGTGTTTTCCATGAAGAAGTTATTTATATTTTAAAATTCTATCTTGTGATCTCTAGCATCTTTTCTATCATCAAGGCTATATTTTCCAACTACTGATCATTCCTCTTTGTGTCCACTGTTTGCATTTCAATCACCAGTAATTATCACCACATCTAAATGGAAAGTTTGATGAGTTTCAGACTGAAGAATTTGGTAGAATTCTTTTATTTCATCATCACTGGCTTAATGGTTTATGGATAAATTTGAATAATAGTTATTTTAACTGGTGTTCCTGTAAGTGTATTGATATTATCTTATCACAGACAGCGTTGTACTTCAAGACAGATCTTGATATGTTCTTTTTGATGGTGAATGTGATGCCATTCCTCTTCTATTTGTCATTCCACATATAGTAAACCATATAATTATCATATTTAAAATGACCAACACTATTCCATTTCAACTCACTAATGCATAAGCTATTAATGTTTATGTTTTCTATTTCATTTTTGACAATTTCCAATATTCCAAGATTCATACTTTGGACATTCCATGTTCTGTTAATTAATGGATATTTGTAGCTGTTGCTCTTATTTTTAATTGTGCCACATCAGTCAATGAAGTTCTTAAAGTTTACTCTATTTATGATGTCACAGCCAACTCTACTTTATGGAAGCAGTTCTTCTTCATTCATATTTTGAGTGCCTTCCAACTTGAAAGGTTCATCTCCAGATACTATGTCTGACAATATTAGGTTCTCTTCATCATGTTTCAATATTCAATATTCTGGTGCTGATAATGTTCCAGTACTATTCATAAGATTTTCAGTGACTAAATGTTTGGAAATGGTCCATTTCGCTCCTTCATCTTAGTGTGTCTTCATCTGGAAACTCAGCTGAAACCTATCTACCATGAGTGAACCTGCTGGTCTTTAATATATCATGGCATATTATCCAGAATTATAGAAACATGCAAGCCACCACAGTACAACATGACAGACATGTGGTAGTCATCTGTTATCACCATTCTGAAGTTTCTGTACAAACTTTTTTTTTACTTATCATTTTTTTCTTTCACTTTATCTCCTCACAGCAAGTTTCAGAGTCTCTTCTGAAGTTCATTTTCTTCTTTATTTTTCTGTCTTTTTAAGAACCTTTTAGATTGCTTTATGATGTCTTTATTGTCATTACAAAAATTTATCAACTTGGATCATTATGATTCTTGAAATTGTCTCTGATATCCCAGTGGGATATAGTCAAGGTCTTATTTTGACTCTCATTGACATGTTTTAATTTCCCTCAGCTTTATCTTAAATCACAGCTGTTGTTATGCTTGAAAACATCTTTGTAGCCAGTATATCAATCACTATTATTGATACTATAAATATTAAAGTTAATTTCAAAGACTTCACAGGAAAGTATCAGAATCTTCCTTTCCTGAAACTGTTCCAGTTTTCCTCCAAACTATACCAACTCCACCTCTAACAAGACACATAAAGAAACATAGACATACTAGTCTGTGAAACTGTCACATATACCCATTGTTTCTTATTTTTATAATCAAAATTTAGTTGAAGTTATAAGAAGCTGAAATAAAAGTACATTAATTTCCTTGTAACAATTATAAAAAAAAGTTGCTAATTAAAAATTTCCTCCAACATATTAGTAAAGTGAAGTCAAAGAAAAAATGACAAAAACAATTATATAGAGAGATAGATGCCTTAAGGGGGTGGGGGGAAAGACTGAACATTCGATTTTTTTAAGCAGATGCTGACATCTCATTTAAATTCTCAGATTACACTGGAAGTGCTTGACAAAGAGATGAAGGCTAAGTGTATCAAAATAATTATAATGTGAATTTCTAAAAGCTAAAGAATTAGGGAGATTTCTGTTATACTACATACCATT